TATACTGTATCATTATTGTATTTGTCCAATAAATTATCTTGTAACACTTGTACACTTTTCGAATCTCCTATTCCTTCCTATATCTCCATCACTCTCCTCCTAGTATATCCTTAAAAACTAAGTTTTTAAGATGTTTTTTGGAAAAAGAAAAGTTTAAAGTAGTAGCGCATGTAACATACCACAGGTATATTATATTGCAGTGATATATATAATATATCTCTAATGGTATTGTTATTGCTAATCTTTTGTAAACCATATGTGTATGTATATCTGTACTTCGTATATTGTATCATTATTGCGTTTGTCGAATAAATTATCTTTAAACACATATACACGTTGATATTCTTTTACCCTATGCGAATATTCCAGAGTACGAATGAGTTCTGTCTCTTTCGTACTCTCCTCCGTCCTCACAGCATCCTTCTCCTACCGCTAATATAATTTGAAATTCAATTCTCGAAATTGCACCTTTGGGAGGCTGTATCTCGGAAACGGCTGGGTTTAGGGCTTTTGCCTTGAAATTTTGAAAGATCTCTTAACGCAGAAAGTCAGAATGGTCCATAGAAGGCGCTAGTACAGGTCAAATTGCGAGAGGGCCACTTTCAAAAAATTTCTTTACTTTTCGGAACTTACGAATATTAAAAGTTTGCATTAGTTCGAATTTTCGCCGATAAGGGGGCAGCACCTCCTGGGCATGATATGTGGCGCCATCTCTGAGCGAACGAGTGAACTTTCTCGATTAAAATAATTCCGAATTCAATTTAAAATCCCATCTTCGAAATTTCAATGGGTAAATCTTATCAAAGAATTCGCATTAGTTCGAATTTTCGCCGATAAGAGGGCAGCACCTCCTGGGCATGATATGTGGCGCCATCTCTGAGCGAACGAGTGAACTTTCTCGATTAAAATAATTCCGAATTCAATTTAAAATCCCATCTTCGAAATTTCAATGGGTAAATCTTATCAAAGAATTCGCATTAGTTCGAATTTTCGCCGATAAGAGGGCAGCACCTCCTGGGCATGATATGTGGCGCCATCTCTGAGCGAACGAGTGAACTTTCTCGATTAAAATAATTCCGAATTCAATTTAAAATCCCATCTTCGAAATTTCAATGGGTAAATCTTATCAAAGAATTCGCATTAGTTCGAATTTTCGCCGATAAGAGGGCAGCACCTCCTGGGCATGATATGTGGCGCCATCTCTGAGCGAACGAGTGAACTTTCTCGATTAAAATAATTCCGAATTCAATTTAAAATCCCATCTTCGAAATTTCAATGGGTAAATCTTATCAAAGAATTCGCATTAGTTCGAATTTTCGCCGATAAGAGGGCAGCACCTCCTGGGCATGATATGTGGCGCCATCTCTGAGCGAACGAGTGAACTTTCTCGATTAAAATAATTCCGAATTCAATTTAAAATCCCATCTTCGAAATTTCAATGGGTAAATCTTATCAAAGAATTCGCATTAGTTCGAATTTTCGCCGATAAGAGGGCAGCACCTCCTGGGCATGATATGTGGCGCCATCTCTGAGCGAACGAGTGAACTTTCTCGATTAAAATAATTCCGAATTCAATTTAAAATCCCATCTTCGAAATTTCAATGGGTAAATCTTATCAAAGAATTCGCATTAGTTCGAATTTTCGCCGATAAGAGGGCAGCACCTCCTGGGCATGATATGTGGCGCCATCTCTGAGCGAACGAGTGAACTTTCTCGATTAAAATAATTCCGAATTCAATTTAAAATCCCATCTTCGAAATTTCAATGGGTAAATCTTATCAAAGAATTCGCATTAGTTCGAATTTTCGCCGATAAGAGGGCAGCACCTCCTGGGCATGATATGTGGCGCCATCTCTGAGCGAACGAGTGAACTTTCTCGATTAAAATAATTCCGAATTCAATTTAAAATCCCATCTTCGAAATTTCAATGGGTAAATCTTATCAAAGAATTCGCATTAGTTCGAATTTTCGCCGATAAGAGGGCAGCACCTCCTGGGCATGATATGTGGCGCCATCTCTGAGCGAACGAGTGAACTTTCTCGATTAAAATAATTCCGAATTCAATTTAAAATCCCATCTTCGAAATTTCAATGGGTAAATCTTATCAAAGAATTCGCATTAGTTCGAATTTTCGCCGATAAGAGGGCAGCACCTCCTGGGCATGATATGTGGCGCCATCTCTGAGCGAACGAGTGAACTTTCTCGATTAAAATAATTCCGAATTCAATTTAAAATCCCATCTTCGAAATTTCAATGGGTAAATCTTATCAAAGAATTCGCATTAGTTCGAATTTTCGCCGATAAGAGGGCAGCACCTCCTGGGCATGATATGTGGCGCCATCTCTGAGCGAACGAGTGAACTTTCTCGATTAAAATAATTCCGAATTCAATTTAAAATCCCATCTTCGAAATTTCAATGGGTAAATCTTATCAAAGAATTCGCATTAGTTCGAATTTTCGCCGATAAGAGGGCAGCACCTCCTGGGCATGATATGTGGCGCCATCTCTGAGCGAACGAGTGAACTTTCTCGATTAAAATAATTCCGAATTCAATTTAAAATCCCATCTTCGAAATTTCAATGGGTAAATCTTATCAAAGAATTCGCATTAGTTCGAATTTTCGCCGATAAGAGGGCAGCACCTCCTGGGCATGATATGTGGCGCCATCTCTGAGCGAACGAGTGAACTTTCTCGATTAAAATAATTCCGAATTCAATTTAAAATCCCATCTTCGAAATTTCAATGGGTAAATCTTATCAAAGAATTCGCATTAGTTCGAATTTTCGCCGATAAGAGGGCAGCACCTCCTGGGCATGATATGTGGCGCCATCTCTGAGCGAACGAGTGAACTTTCTCGATTAAAATAATTCCGAATTCAATTTAAAATCCCATCTTCGAAATTTCAATGGGTAAATCTTATCAAAGAATTCGCATTAGTTCGAATTTTCGCCGATAAGAGGGCAGCACCTCCTGGGCATGATATGTGGCGCCATCTCTGAGCGAACGAGTGAACTTTCTCGATTAAAATAATTCCGAATTCAATTTAAAATCCCATCTTCGAAATTTCAATGGGTAAATCTTATCAAAGAATTCGCATTAGTTCGAATTTTCGCCGATAAGAGGGCAGCACCTCCTGGGCATGATATGTGGCGCCATCTCTGAGCGAACGAGTGAACTTTCTCGATTAAAATAATTCCGAATTCAATTTAAAATCCCATCTTCGAAATTTCAATGGGTAAATCTTATCAAAGAATTCGCATTAGTTCGAATTTTCGCCGATAAGAGGGCAGCACCTCCTGGGCATGATATGTGGCGCCATCTCTGAGCGAACGAGTGAACTTTCTCGATTAAAATAATTCCGAATTCAATTTAAAATCCCATCTTCGAAATTTCAATGGGTAAATCTTATCAAAGAATTCGCATTAGTTCGAATTTTCGCCGATAAGAGGGCAGCACCTCCTGGGCATGATATGTGGCGCCATCTCTGAGCGAACGAGTGAACTTTCTCGATTAAAATAATTCCGAATTCAATTTAAAATCCCATCTTCGAAATTTCAATGGGTAAATCTTATCAAAGAATTCGCATTAGTTCGAATTTTCGCCGATAAGAGGGCAGCACCTCCTGGGCATGATATGTGGCGCCATCTCTGAGCGAACGAGTGAACTTTCTCGATTAAAATAATTCCGAATTCAATTTAAAATCCCATCTTCGAAATTTCAATGGGTAAATCTTATCAAAGAATTCGCATTAGTTCGAATTTTCGCCGATAAGAGGGCAGCACCTCCTGGGCATGATATGTGGCGCCATCTCTGAGCGAACGAGTGAACTTTCTCGATTAAAATAATTCCGAATTCAATTTAAAATCCCATCTTCGAAATTTCAATGGGTAAATCTTATCAAAGAATTCGCATTAGTTCGAATTTTCGCCGATAAGAGGGCAGCACCTCCTGGGCATGATATGTGGCGCCATCTCTGAGCGAACGAGTGAACTTTCTCGATTAAAATAATTCCGAATTCAATTTAAAATCCCATCTTCGAAATTTCAATGGGTAAATCTTATCAAAGAATTCGCATTAGTTCGAATTTTCGCCGATAAGAGGGCAGCACCTCCTGGGCATGATATGTGGCGCCATCTCTGAGCGAACGAGTGAACTTTCTCGATTAAAATAATTCCGAATTCAATTTAAAATCCCATCTTCGAAATTTCAATGGGTAAATCTTATCAAAGAATTCGCATTAGTTCGAATTTTCGCCGATAAGAGGGCAGCACCTCCTGGGCATGATATGTGGCGCCATCTCTGAGCGAACGAGTGAACTTTCTCGATTAAAATAATTCCGAATTCAATTTAAATTCGTTCTACGGGTTACTTCGGGAACCAGCGGTGAGCAGCGGAGCACCTCTGCCCTCCAAGCTACGCGTTCGTGTTCACGTTTAGCTCGGCTACGACGGGATTCACATTGTTGACGGAGGCGATCATCAAAAAAATGCTACTTCCACACTCGTCGTTACGATTTAGCGCCATGATTTTGGTATAGTTTAAAACGGTAGCGTTGAACATCTCTCTACTCATCTGTGTACTTACCTGGCTTGTGGGCCAACACCTATCTGTCGATGGTGCTGTCCCATGTATGTACAGAAGACAGAACAGGAACGACGGAATTGGAAAAATTGTTTGGTGGTGGTTGACCAATCATCTTCGTTCTGAAAATGTCAAACGATTCCCGGGTACCATATTTTTCAGAAAACAGGCAGACATTCTAACTTTAAAACTGGTAAATTTTGCGAATTCCAAATCTTCGCATTTCAATCTATACAGTCTTATAGATAATTAATATTTAATGATTTTTTTAACAATATGTGTCCTTATTGATTTTAATGAACGAAAATTGATATTTAATCTTTCCGAATTTCTGTCTTTTTTTTTCTACATGGGGAACTCAGTCATCGAAAATTTTTGGAACGAAGATGATTGGTCAACCCCCACCAAACCATTTTTCTGATTCCGTCGTTCCTGTTCTGTCTTCTATACATGGGATAGCACACTAATACTATTCTAGAAAATTATGAAGTTTTAATACAAAGTTAACCTCCATGCATTTTCGAAGGCAACTTAGCGTCTACGATATACAGAATACTGTAAATACAAATATTGACCTTATAATATTTCCAATTTACTGATACATTTTTTAAAAATTTCATTACGCGTTGTAGACATCTTTAGTACATAGTTTATGTTCCATGCTGTTAGGTTAGATCAAAGTTATTTACATGTATTACAGACTAATTTTTCATTTGACTTTCAGTGAAATGGAGTCACGAACTGAATTTAAAATAAAAACTCCACCGTCAGATGCAATTTCGGCGGTGGAATTTGGACCCAATTCAACTCAGTTCCTTTTGGTATCCTCGTGGGATAGCACAGTAAGATTGTATGACATTCATGCAAATAGTATGAGACTCAAGTACAACCATGAGCTACCTGTATTAGATGTTGCATTCCAGGTAATTTAAATTTTGTCTATTATTCTTTGACCCTCCATTAACCATGACATTATTTATAGGATGCCGTACATGCCTACAGTGGTGGGCTAGACAATACGTTAAAAATGTATGATATTAATAGTAACACAGGTACGTCCTGAGTACATGCAATGTTTAATAGTTTAACAAGACTATATTAAATAGACTGTTACAAAAAATGTATTATTACAATAGAATCGATAATGGGAACTCATGAAAAACCAATAAGAAAAATTGAGTATTGCGGTGCTGTTCATGCTATACTCACTGGAGGTTGGGATGCTGCCGTCAAGTTATGGGACCCACGTTCCCCAACTTGTGTGGGCACATATTTGCAACCTGACGTTGTATTAGCACTCTCTGTATGTGGAGACAAGTTTGTTGTCGGAACAGCCAAACGTAAAGTTTGCATATGGGACTTACGTAATATGGCTGGAATGTTTCAACGTCGTGAGAGTAGTCTCAAGTATCAAACGCGGTGCATCAAAGGATTTCCGAACGAGCAAGGCTACGTCCTGAGTAGCATCGAAGGACGCGTTGCAGTAGAGTATCTGGATACCACGCAGGAAGCCCAGAAAAAGAAATACGCCTTCAAGTGTCACAGAATAAAGGAGAATAACGTAGAAAATATTTATCCCGTGAATGCCATTAGGTGTGTACATTCGTATAACGAAAATAATACCACGTGATTCATATTTAATTCTTTTGTTTCTTCGTTTCTCAGTTTCCACTCCACGTACAACACATTCGCTACTGGAGGTTCAGATGGATACGTGAATATTTGGGATGGCTTCAACAAGAAGCGTCTCTGCCAATTCCACAGATACAATGCCGGGGTGGCTGCACTTAGCTTCAGTCACGACGGCTCTGTTCTGGCAATAGGAGTCTCCTATCTGAATGAAGTAGAGATACCACCTGGTGGTTCGAATGAAGAAAGTATTTATATCAGATATGTCAACGACCAAGAAACCAAGCCGAAATAGCTTTATAGAACTTTTGACAGAGCGCCTATAGTTTGGAGTGATCCTATTACCATTAGAAACTTCGCCAAGTGAGAATCAAAAGTCATGTGGCTACTTGGAAGAATTTCGTATTTTAAACATTTGCAAAAGCGAGGAATGGTTCTCAGACTTTTAATAAGAATGAAACAGTCCACTTATAACCAGCCTGGCTAATGACATGTACAAACAATGCGAGGAACGTCTTACGACTTGAAAAAATAATTGAATCATGACAGACCAGTCATTTGGAATAAATCTTTCGTAAAAAATATTTCGTTCTTTATTTTCCTACCGGAACTCGTCCGGAATTTAACAAACTTTGTAATAGAATCACAAAATATTCATTTAGGGGTACGAGATCCTTTTTTCGCACCTTTCAAAGAACATGGATTAACCTTTAAAGTTGAATAACAGTTGATTTCAAGTGTCTCGTGTTCTGAAGAGTTATACAATAATTATTATACCTTTTCTCTCTTTTTTTTTTTTAACAAATAACGATTCTGATTAAACGATTACAATTTTTTTCAGAGAAAGCTTCGTTAACAGACTGCACTTTCTGTGGTCTCCAAGTTTACTTGATCGCTCGATTAATTTAAAAGAATCATTAAAGATGCTCTTGTAATCGTCAACTATCTTGATATATACGTTAAACGGAAGCCCGATATTAACAATAGTACTGTTCATTATTGTTTCCATCCATGCAACTCACTAATAAATGTTTAAGGGATACAAGCAGCATTAACCTTAGATAATGCCGGCCTTATCCAATATACCTGCTACAACTCTACCGATCAATCGTACCTTAAGTACATATAGTCTCGTGAAAAATTTTAATGCGCTCGAATCTAGTTGCTATGCAAAAGTTGACGAAGATCTCAATGAAGAGTGTCTAATAATAAAAAAATAGTCTAATAAAAAATCAATAAGATTTTAAAACTCACATAATAGGTTTTTCTCATAAACGCACGTAAAAACTCGAAATGTTATTTAACTGATTTTTCTTCTACTAATTGACGAGGTAAAAAAAAGTATGGCGATAAATTGCGAATAGGAATAATATATAAATCGTAATTTTCCTACGAAGTTTCAAGGACCAGAACGATTGCGCTTCTTTCGTATCATTAAATGTTTAACGTAACAACTTATACGACAATATGTACACAATCTTTAACAATTTTTACAAATTGAGGTGCCCTCTTAGTATTGCAAAGCCACTATCTATACACTTTCAGTAGACCCATGAAATTCTGTGAGAATCTCAATGTTTTTGCAGCCCGCAAAAATCACCTCGTTACGTGCATACTATGATATACATATGTATATATTTACACAATCGATCGTTTGCTCCTAGAGTCTCTCTATTGAGAGAAAATGAGAGACAGACAATACGAGAAATTGATTTAGCACCCATCTTTAGGTTGGGCCTACTAATATTAGCAAATGATCTTCCTGAGTGAGTCTTTTATAACATCGTATGTAGCGAAACTTATACCCACAGCAACAGGACCTTTCACCCAATTCATACTTAGACCTTTAAAAAACGCCATGATTCCCTCTTCCCTGAAATTAAAAAAAACAGTCAATAAGTTTAATTCAAATCAGTTTCGTCACAAACTCAGGTCAAAAACTCACGTATATATTTTGACGGTTGTCGTGTATATCGTATGATAATGTTGACCCTTTATCGCTGAGGTTTGCATTCTCCTACGTACGATGTCCAAAGGATAACTGCTGGTTTGGCCAACCATTCCAGCAACAGCACCACAAATCAGTGCAGACATTGCTGATAATCCAGGACGATTTACAGTATACACTAACGAAACAAATAAATTTGATAGACATTAAAAAATGTTTTTTTTTGTTTAATTCAATATCTAAAATATCATTAATAAGTAAGACCTACCAGCGATTACATTTTTGAGCGTGTCGTAGGTAAAGAAACTGAATCCAGCATAAGGAACAACACCAAGTATCGTCGGGGTGAATCCTCTGTAAAATGCTATGATTCCCTCTTGCCTATAGATACTAGAAAACATTTGTCGAAGTGTCCTACACTCTGCTTTCTTGGTCACAGCCATCCTGGCCCTAGCAAGATCCAACGGATAGGTCAAGCTTTGCGACGTGACACCAGCCAAGGATCCAGCTAAAAATCTTTTAACAGGAGTCGTCCTAAAATTCAAATAAAATAAAGATTTTAAATTGTCACATTACCGGAAGTAGCTAATCACTAAGCGCAATACTTACGTCTCTGGACCATTTACATGCAGCAATCGTTTCCACTGTTCGTGAGCAGTGAACTGAATGGCAGCATAGGGTACGATCCTGGCCATCGTTGCACTGTTCCCACGCCAGAGACTCAGCAGTCCATCCTTTTTATAAGAGTTCACTAAGAATTCAATAGCAGCCTTAGCAGAGTATGGCATCTTCGAGATCTGAAAATTGATCTTCGTCCTATCTAGGGGTGCAATGGTAGTCTTCGCCAGGGCTCCTGCTATCGCTCCAGCTAACAAACTGGTGAGGACCCTCTGAGTATTCGAGATGTTCTGTTGGACGCTCCCTTGACCTTCCTCCGTAAGTATCTCATGGATGGACGAGGATTGACTTGGTACCGATGACTTAGTTATGCCTGGCATGACGGATACCTGAATCCTTTCAAGGACCACTTGGCTACCATCTACAGGACTCGGTGCAACGTGTCCACTCATTTCCACTAGGATGTTAATGTTTTGGATCTCCTTCTCCAATTAGGTAGCAATATCCTCCAACACTTGATTGGCCCTGCGCCTCTCTGGCCGTCCAGGTGCCTCTGCTAGGAGCTTCTGCAAATGACCATAAGGAAGCACAATGTTGGGTCAAGGTGTAATTCTTTAAATAAGAAAAAAAATACTGTTACTAAGTAATTAACCAAAGTCCTACTAATAGCTATCATTAGGATGTGAAAAACCTGATAAAGGGAAAGAACATCTACAAAATTCAACAACGCCTCAGCAAACAATATTGTATGTAACAACTACAAATTTACAATATTAAAATTTTATACTTAGGTATATAACAGTTATAAGACAGCTGATTGTATTATTATATTCTTTAATAACTATTAGATTACTGAATAACTGAACTTAGTAGAGAGAGGGAGATTCCTTTTTCACCAATTTAAAAAAAATACTGTAATACCTGAAAAAGTATTACACTCTGGCTGATTAGTGTTTATAAATCTTCCGAGTGGTTAGCGTTATTACTGACAATTGAAAAAACTTATCAGAATATTAGCATGATGTAACACAGACGTCAGTGATTATTTAAGACTTCTTGAAATATTTGATTAAAACTTTTTAATTGGACTTTCACTCGAGTTAATCAACCTTATCGTACTAATATATTGCACGAATTTGCCATATGATGTTTGATGGAAGTGCGTAGGGTATGTGACATAACAATAATTGAAATTTTAAATATTAATTTCGTAGTCAATATTTGTCAGTGGAACACCTGTTGCTCAGACTCGCTACCATTCTGTTGTACTAAAGTGTCGCTAAGTTGGTCTTGAAATTCTGAAATTATGTTCATAAAATTAGAACGAGATTTTTGAAATTTGCGTGAAGAACATATGACCTGAAAATATTCTGTACCTGAACGAAGATCAGTGACTCTTATTGTATGTTAGGTCTGATTATACATAGATATTAACTTCCTTCGCTATATAAATATATCACAGTAAATAATGACATGATCTGCACGTGCACAGTGCGTGAACTGTTCTATTTTGAATTTTTTATGATTTGATGAAGAAAGCTGAACCTCTATTTTCATAAGCGTGGCAAAATTCCAGCCATCCATAATCGATTTGAATTCTGTTTCCTTTTATTCCATCCTCTCTGACTCACCATGATGTGATCTTTTTTAAAAGTAAATCAAAATGTCCTTTAAATGTGGTGATTAAATATAACACAGCCTCAGGAAGATCGATATACGGTTAACAACTCGCATCGGCGAAAAACAAATATTTAAATGGCCTTAATCTCCAATGTCAATAGTAATTTATTGTTAAAAAATAACTACGATTACTGTTATGCAACATAAGCACCTGAAAGTTTTACTACAGTAATCGTTCCTCGTTAATATAAAAATCCATTCAAAATTTCTACTATATTTTTTTCAATGTTTCCTTGCTGTTTCCACGCCCTCAGTAAAAGTTCCGTAAATATACTTGAATACTATTTTTGTAAGCATGTTAAAAAGAATTGAACATTTTCCAAGTGATTCAAAAGAGTTCACGTAGGCCATTACCCGTCATGCATTGAAAAACAAACTTCAGTCTAGTAAGCAGTTTTAAATATTTTATTGACGGAAGTACTCTGGCAGTTTATCGATTATGCGTACAAATAAATAAGTAAAGCGGATAACTAATGTCATATAGTGATATGATACTTACGTCATAACTGACATATCAATTGAAGAGAATTCAAGAAATTTCATCTCGTGTAGTATCGTAAAGATCCTTCGTAGAGAACTAGTTATAGTTTTATACTATAGTATAATTGTATACGGCTAAACTGTAGAATACGACTCCTTGAAGTTAGCAGTAAATTGTTTAGTTCGTTTTTTTACATGGAGTTCTTCAAGAAGGAGTAGTATTCTGTAGTTTTATCTTGTATACTAATATAATTTATATGTAATATCTTCTCTTACGTTTGAAAAGATGTTTACCAACATAGCTCACGAGACAGGTTTGCGTATTAAAAACTGTTTGTGAGGTTATGTGAATCCTAGCACGTACGAACTTATTATGCGAACACTCCTACTATGTCGTTCAAATTATTTTGACGAGCGATACGAAGATAAATCCACATAACCTATAGAAATACGAAACAGCCTTGACAGTGCCTATCGCTAATTCTATCTCATTAAATTCCAACTCTTCGACGTGTTTATATGCATACGTTATGTCGTATCAGCTGTGGCGTGAATTTCAATATGGCGCATTGTCGCATGGAAGACCGGAGTACTAATTGGCCAAATAAATATTGGCATTTTTATAACATTCTTATTGCTCGCTAGAACATATCTAATTTCGCAATAACAAATCGTTTGAGAATTTAAAAATCGGTGATAGTCAATTATTTAATCGAAATAAACTGAACAAAATTACTATACTCTCTGAGCCTGCCTTTTTCCACTGTGACTAAAGTTTGAAAATAGATGCGAAATTCTGGATCCAGTGACCTTCGCTTTTTTTTCTACGCAGATATGTTAATTACTTTTGATTAGCAGGCAAAGTGATGTCTTAACGAACTACTTCATTCTCCTACCATTGTAAGACTAAAAAATCATAATTGTAAATATTGCCTAGAATTGATTTTTCTATTTCTTCATATTTAATAAACGATTTCAATAATAGCTATTATCAGCACATTATGTATAACGTTTTATCAGTGCTACGCAGTAGGTCAAGTCTAACAAATATAACTGCTATGAACATTGTGAAAAATAGCATCATGAGAGAAGACAATTTTATGAATGTACATACATATATATATAAATTCCATAATGCCTTACTCATCAGAATTGATAATTTTGATTTCTTATAGATCTTCCAAAAGTTTAACAATCCTTTCCACTCCTATATAAAGGTATCCAGCAGAGATTAAACATAACGAAATGGGAGCAGTCTTAGTCCGCGTGCCCGGCATGTCTGTGCAATAATTCTTAAGTCACGATCGGCTATTTATAGCAACTCTCATAACTGGTTGCCCATTGACAATGGAATTGACGAAAATGAGAACTGCATGATAAAGAAATAATAATTACAGCTGTTTGTCTGCAAGTCTTATGAGTTGCGTAACTGTATATGATAAGATAAGCAAAAATTCAAGTGCGGGTCGTCGTTATAATCAAGGATTCGAAAACTTTGAAACGCTTAAAAATAGTTAGAAAAGGCCTTGATCTTTCGTTCCTCACGTACTATGATTTGGTCTTGATTACTGTGTACGGAAAATAGTCAGGAGGAAGATGCACAGAGAAAGATGAATGATCTGCTCGCATGGTTCAACTCGAAAGAATGTCTGATTTGTTCTTGATCTGTCTTGATTACGTGTCAATGGATAAAAATCGATTAGCGTATGACGAATTATCAATGATAGTACTCGAGCATTATCTAACATTTTCGAAATCACTTTGGTACGTATCAAAATGCAAAAAATCTGAGCTACCACGATAAAAGCACGTACCTTTGGTTGGATTAAGAGAAGCAGTCTTATGTTCGATTCTCAGCCATAACGACGTAGGTACGCGTAGGACGCAAACAACGACGAGGCGTACTCGTAAACATAAAGATAATGAGTTAATCATGTTTTAATAATTTCCATGCATCAACCCGTCAAAATACGGCGTGTACATGACGTACATGCTTTAAACAAAAATTAGTCTATTATGTAGATTCACAGACAAAGATGGGTGTGTGTATGAGAAGTGTGTGTACGTGGCAAAGATAGACATAATACACAAGATAATTAATCAAGCAGAAATTCTTGTCAATTTTCGAGAAAAGTGAATGAGCTTCAAGTAATAATCGCATCCCGTTGAATACATTGTGCATGCCGCACTTCAGTCTACTAAATGCAAAGTCCGCGTGCGAGTCGAAACGTTCGACACTCAGTTTCCTCGATAGGTCGATATAAATAAACTTGAGCTCGCATTCGTACCTTCGTCGAATCGTGCTTAAATGTTGTCCTACTGGTCCCTTCTGAAGTTTTATTCTTGGCCGAAGAACCGAGGGCAGTTATCTCCCTAAACGCTGCTAGCAACTAAGCCTTATGACAAGTTTACATTATTTTATTGGCACTGCTATACTTTTTCTTTCACCCTCTGTCTTTATCTCTTCCACCCTTTTCAGGTATTTTGTTTTCTGTCAATCTTCGTTCCTCTCGTTCTTCTCTGCTTTTTCTATACTACCCCGAACCGGCGATCTTTCGCGAACGGCTCACGTCACGACACTGGCATTACATTGCAGCTTGTTTTTAATCTATCTCTATGACCGCACGTTCCTCCGAGTGCGCCACACAAAGCGTAGAGTGGAGTTAGTTGCTCTAGAGTTTCTCAGTCTTCCTCTGCGCAGTACGTTCATGCGTCTTGCCCGACCAAACCAGACTGAGAATGAACGTCACAGCTGACTGCCATCACTCCGTGGCCTACTACAGGTTAACAGCCTGTTATTCACTCTACTGCTTCGAAGGCCTTTTCTTCCTGTTAAGATGAATTATTGTGAGGAATAGCTCGGAATGAAAAGTTGTGTGATTGTGGTGAGAGACAAGTGTCTGACTAGTGGACTTCATTTTGTGAACATTCACTTGGCAATTGAAAAATTAAGCGAGAGAACAACGCGTCCGGGTTAGACATGGCGTAGGCCTCGATGCCGACTAACCTGATAGTGGGGATGGCTAGGTTAGGTATCCAGTCTGACACGTAACCAGCCAAGTTGATATCGCTGATTGTTTTTCGGAGTTAACTATTAAAAAGGAATCAATTATGGTAACTATTATTTTATGATTTCAATTTTGATTGATTGCTCGAGCCTGGCTAGATATGAGATCCGTCATAATTTTGATAACCAAGTTATGATTGGTTTGTTGATTAATTTTTTTTTCGATCAAATATTTTTGGCAGAACTGCACTACACTTTTTATTACGTTATGTATTTTACTGGTTTAATGCTTTGTTCTTTTAGGCACGTTATTTTCGTGAAGAGGACATAGATGGTACGTAACTGAAATCGACAGAGTGAGCAAAGTGATCATCGACTTTACAATTTTCCGACTTACTTGCTTTCTTGTGCTGACCGTAATTGATCGATTTTTCAGAATTCCGAGAATGCTTCTATCTATTTGCCCGAAGCGGGCAAATTCGAACTTTGGACGAGTTAACTATTATTATGAGATCCCTTGGCCTGAGTCCCACTATTGCTGAATTGAACAAGTATCTCAAAGACAAAGGTCTTGTATATTTAGAATTGTCTCCTTTTTTTGTTATTATTTCGAAACTCATTATTTTGCAATACTGATTTTGTTACAGGTGGTAAGATGTCGTTTGCTGATTTCTTAGAAGTGATGCATCTTCAAACGCGAGCAGAAAACCTTCCAAACGAGGTGATAGAGGCATTTCAAGCAGCGGACACTTCACGAAGTGGTTCTATACCAGCACGGCAGCTGGCTCACATGCTTTTGAATTGGGGAGAGAAATTGAGTAGCAAAGAAGGTAAAATTATTCCTGAAAAGATCCTATTTTATTGAGATATAAGAAAAAAATAATAAAAATATTGCGTTTCAGTCGAACAAATCTTCAGGGAAGCTAATGTCTCTCCTAACGGACAAGTGAAATACGAGGATTTCGTAAAAATCGCTTGCGCTCCAGTTCCAGATTATTATTAAACGGTCAAACAAGTTTAATACATTCCACACTGGCAGTATTACACAATTTTTTGATAACTTATAAAACTCGGTTGTGGTGTTATTGTACCTCTATTGTACACAGTTGAAATAAATGGAATATATTTTTCAACATTCCCATATGACCTTTCACCTTTTCTAACGCTTTTCTAGGAATCACAAACTGACTTCTGCATTGTGCAATTACGATTCCACCCTGGCGTCCACCCAACCGATTGCGGAAACCAGATAATTTTAATAAACACGGACGTGCGTCCCTCTACATAATCGACCAGTACTACTAAATTCTCGTGCTCGGACAGAGCAGATAATTGAATACGAAAAGCGCGCGCGTTTCATCCGCTTCGTGAATCTCATGGTTTGATTAACGATTTTAATTGATTTAAAAGAGACTTCGTCCAGCGTACTTTCCAAATACGGAATATTGATCGTAATAGATGATCCATTGGATTGGAGAGTGATAAGAACATCAAGGAGAACTATGGAAATGGACCAGCAACATTTGAAAATATACCTGGAGAAACTAAAAACTCAACTAGATTTGTATTATGTCTTTGGTAGAAGGAGCTGAGTATAATAGTATTTCAAAAAGAAAAATCATTCGAGCAAAGAAGTGTTTCATTACTCTAATTGCTATCGGCCGTCTTGGAAGGCGGAAAAATCGTCTTGATTATCAGATTTTTATGCATGCTTCTAAACGGCTTAAAGCTGTCGATTTTTAATTAATTTCTAAATACCAAACAAATGGATCCCTTTCTTACAGTTTGATCGTAAATCCATTTATTTCTGTGACACAGAACATCCATGCACTGACGATATGTCGCAATAACGATACTTCTCACAAAGTCAAAACATCTTTAATCTATTCCGATACTTGCAATGACACTTATATAATTATTGCATCCTCAACATTCTACGCACATATATTTCCCTTCCCTGTCTCCAACTATTAACTCCCACAAATGCTTTATTTTATCCTCTTCTTTCTTATTAGACAACCATCGTTTCACACAGAGCTCAGAACGTCGAGAACAGTTCCGAATACACGTATTATTAATTTGATCTACAATATTAACGTTCGACTGATACAACACATCTTATTGCAATTGGAACAAAGTTCGTGAGCGTCATTAAAAATGATAAAAATGTCCTTCGAGAATCATATGAATGATCGGAAAATTGATATCGCTCTTTAACGAATAATACTCTGTAGCGAGAGCGAGTCTCCCGAGACTCAGAATAACTTTTGAGCAACCTTATTTGGGAATTTCCGATGTGGGAGGAGAGCCGCAAAGGATGACCGTGGTACTGACGATAGTGGTCAGGAAGAATATACAAAGGAGCGCGCGGTCGCTCACCAGAGCGACCTGCTTCCATTCCAGTTCCGTTTTCTCTCGATGGTCTTGTTCGTTGAGACGCCTCTCGTTCCTCTCGATAGTAGCATGAACGTTCCCAAGGACTCTAGACCACTGAGTCTCCACACTACTGTCCTTCCCTACATCTACACAGTGATCAAACGTATTATTATCCAAGATCAGCGATCCTCATGTCGTCTATCCGTTACTTGAAAGAGGAACAACCATACCTAGACTACTGCTGTTGCTGTCCTGTCTCCTGGTAACGTATTTCGGTGACACCTGCTGCTGAGGTGTCTGCGTTTTGCAATTAAGAGGACACTTGTTCCTTCGTTGTGAAGCATCGTTGTCATCCTGGAACGAGTCCAGCCGATGAGTAGAAGCACCAACGCGTGAAGCAGCGCGATGCTCTACCTCCTCAAAATTCAGGAAGACGATCCTCGCTAGCTTCTCCAACACTAGGGATCTTATGATGGACGGTACCCTGGTTCCTCGGACTCCACGATGATGAAGATTGAGCGTGACTACTGCGAGTCCTGAAGCGAATGATACCAGGCAGATACTCACGCCATAATAAAGACCTAGAAGATAGGTCTCGGTTATTGAGTACTTTATTATGAACCATATATACAGAATAGGGCGTACCACCGGATAAAAGAAGTCTTTTGCCTTGATCAAGATAGAGAAAGGCTTTATTGTGTTATTTTATCAAGCAAAAGAAAACTCTATAGATCTGACAATTATACTCCTGGCTTCAGCGTAAACTCAGTTCTGTTTATACAGCAAGCTCACGATAACAACCGTTAGAAAATATAAAGACTATTAACAAGCTACGTCAACATCTCTACTAATAGCATTATAGTATGTACTGCTGACCATTTAACCAGCCACCTGAGCTTTCTTTTTTTTACGTTGTTGAGATTTATGCTTCACCTACTGGACATTATAGTAAATTACAATTCTGCTTCCTTTGAAGATTACCAAGTGCACTAGAAATTCATACTAGTATACGATCTAAAAGCGTTTTTAATCCCTACTTGCGTAACGCTCTGAACGACAGAAATTTCTTTTAAATATTATAATTATAATTCCATTTGATTCCTACAGCCTTATGATTTTTTCGTTGCATTGGGCATCATCAGCTGTCTGCAGCAATACTTACTGATTAATGGCGTCTTCTCTGTGGGTGGGAGCGTCTCGCGAATCGTCATGAGGAAGACAGTCATCGAGAGTAACGCAGATATACCCAGTGTGACCTTTTCTCCAGATTCCGACGGCACGTAGAAGACTAGCAGTGCTGAGTGCATAAGAAACAAAGTTTGTATCTTATCTTTTACTTCGATTTGTAATATCGATTTAATTTGAACTCCTGACAAAAACGACAATAAGTAAAAAAAGAAAGGAGAAAAAAATATGAAAAGTTTGCGGCTGGTTTGCTTGATGCTCGGTGGTACGAGTTAATGAAATTTTTTTCCATTTCTCTTCTTTCTTTTTCTGCCAACAGAGTCGTGGCTGTCAGGTTAACTCGCTTTTCTTTGCAAACGACGCAATTAGCTAAGGTTTACTCAGCGATGCATCGAATGGCACTGTAAAGAGTAGCAAGTTGCATCACAGTAGCTGCATATTAATTAAAAATTTGTTTTCCAGTTATCGTTCACAAAGAATAATTTTAAAACATAAAACTTTAATTCAAAGTGACAAATACCCATAGCTTCATTCAGTTTTCTGGATTTTCATGCTGCCGGATGCAAGTTTGCATATTTGAAATTGAGAGAAAATTGTAAAAAGAAAAATTGTCACGCACAAATGGCGCCGCGAACGCAGCATGCAAATGACGTCGATCCACCCAGGAAAAAAAAACGAATCAAAATTTTTGTTTTTCTGCTTGAAAAATGACTACGACCATAAAAATGTCATAAAAATTCCACTTTGGTTGGACATATTGTATGGCGGGATTAAAACTCGCGAGAAAATTCATGTTATCAAAAATTGGTGCGAGCACTTTTCCACTTAAAATTAATTAATAGATTGAAAATAATTCTGTAGAATTTCTATAAAACATACGAAAGTCCAACTCACCGATTCCATTGATAAGGATGCACGGGAGGATCAGGTTAAAGACGTAGAACATTGGACGACGTCGTAGGCGAATCTCATATGTGATATCCGGATAGGGCTCGGGACAGCATGAGTAAAATTGTACGTGCTTCCTGGCAGAGAAATCGACGAGGTCGAACTCGCCATTCGCTTGATAGTTACTGACGTCTCCTTCGTCGGTTTGCTTTTCCAGTTCGAGCTGTGAAGGAATCGTGAAAGTCCGTTTAAAACGATGAAAACCTTCGGAATTGGTTGAGTAAAACTAATTGGGTCGGAAAAGTTGTTCGTCAACGATCGAACGCCTCGGCTACGGTAACGTGCAATTTTTTTCAGCATTTTGGTAATAGGAGTGAGAGAGACACAGAGAGAGGGAGGGGGACGTATCACACTATCATGGGAAAATAGAAAATGGATCTAGAGTAGAAGGATGGGAAATAGGAAAGCCACAGGGGGCCATACAGGCTTTGGAGGGGAACGTTGTGGGAGCATTGAAATCTTGTTGCATTCAGAATTAAGCTTTCCGACTTACGCGACTTCCATTTGCCCAAGTTCGGAACTGATATGCTCTTCATACTACCTCCGCCTCTCTCTTTCTCTCTGTCCTTCGTTGTCACTTTCTGTTTCCTTGTCTTTCGTAAGCTCACAAAGAATTTAAGGTATTTTGGAATACGGATTTAACCAACAATTGGAATATCCATGAAATTAAAATGTGACAAGAATGAAGATTTTTCCCGATGCAAAAAAGATATTCTGTGTTGTTCAAGTATAGGAAGAGTTTAATTTGCACCGGGGAAACTATAAAACGTTGAACCTAAGAGTCGGCGATAATAATGTAGACTATTAAATAAAATTACACCAAAACAAAAATACGGCTAAGAGTACAAGAGTGAATTTTTAAAAAAATGACTGTATTCGTTTGCGTAATTCATCATTACCTGATAATTTTACTCTTCAACTTTGAGAATAGCATGGGTGGGTCTTATTAGCAGCATAGTATCGAGTTGTTTTTACTGTGTAAGACAGAGTAGAAAATAGTGGCTTACGGCGAAGAAGATTCTTCGCTAAACTTAAATGAAGTAGGAAATTTGCAAGGGCGGCTTTAAGATTCTATCGCAACTTCCACTTACGAGTATTATGGGTTCCATGGAGATGCGTCTAAGTACATTCCTATACCGCTAAATATTACGCTACTCGACATTTTTCCTTTACGGTATTAATGTTCTTCTTGTACAGCATCTTCTGGTTCTCTTCCTCGAATGAGTAAGGTATTCGCTCCAGCATAAAGAAATCCTCTTAGACGTCACTCGACGTCGCGACGCCTTTTCTCGTGTGAATGAGAAACGTTTTCGCAAAGTTCAAACTATACGAGCACTACAAAGCTAATCAAGTCGAGAACAAAATGCTCTCAGCGTTTTTCATATCAAAAGTATTATTTACGAAATTGTTCACAAATTTTCTGCAATTCATGAACGCAAAGCATTATTTTCCCTCTTGTCTTACCTTGAAATAATTAAGTCATGAATTGTCAAAATGTCGTTAAATGATTGCCGTCGCTTTTCCACAACTGTAATTGGCCGTCGGTGTTGACAGTGGATACGCATGAATAGGCCTTTTCGAGAGGTAGTTATTCAATGATCGACTGTCATTGACGTATGCCAATCTTTTGACTACAAAGGTGGTGCTAAATACTTGACACAAATGAATTAACGTTTCGCACCTCGTATTTTCAGTTAACAGTTCTATAAAAATCGCAATTTGTCCACAAGTTGTTAACACGAACAAAAGTATAATTTCTTCTTAAATAAACTGTCGTGTTTCTTGCACAGATTTCCCTCGTCTTCATCAAAGCCTCTAGAATCGAGGAATCGATCGAGACGTTTCATTAGCCCAGTATACGGTGAAAATCAAACCGCAAAGTTGTCCCTACGACAGCAGCACCCATGCTTGTCTCTGTCCGGTAGCAAAACAAAGGATTTACTACCTCCGATTCACTATCGTTTTCAGCAGGACGAACCCACATCACGCGGGCACATGTTTTTAACGTGATAAACGGTAATGGGGACGAACGAACACACAGACACAGAATAATCGTCCGGGCATTACCCGACATTTCCACGCCTCGCCAAAGTTAATTCAATCGTCCACGAAACGCCGCTCAAATCTGTAAGCGTATAATGCACGGAATTTCCAACAGATGGCTGCGATTTAATAATGCCAGAAATTTCACGAGGCTCGTCCAAATGTTCGATGCTAAGTTATACATGTACGTGACACGTTACGTGTGAATTACGAATTGTTCATAATGGAGGAAATATCCAATGCTATTTCTTGTACTCTGTACAAGTTTATAACAGAATTTCTCTCATCAACTTTTTTTCACTATTTACAACTCACTTGATAACCATCATAGGTCCAGGATGCCCATTTCAGGGCGCAGCGTTGCTCGTCAAATGGGAAAAACTCGACGTCGATGTCGCAACTGCTACGAAAAATTCCGTGACTTAACCAGACGACTTCGCCGGTATGACTGACTATGACGTTGGTGTTGATGACAGCTGAGCTGTACTGCGGATCAGCACTGAAAATCAGAAAAGTTTCAAGAAAACGTTACAAAGTCAAGTTTTGTCGCCACTGAATGCAATTCCAGGCTGTAGTGTTTTCGTCGGACGGACTCTGCTCGTTAGATTCTCTTTAGGTGCGCATTACAAAGTTGGTGTAAACTCAAAGGAAAGTAGAGAAGCTAGAAAGCCAAAGGGCTTTGGCAATCTTCGTGCAAACTCGGGCAATAGGAATTGTTCTTATAAGATGAAAAGTGTGCTTTTATGCGCGAGTGCAAATTTTTCGTTATTACATACTTGTTATAAAGTATCGTGTCGGGTCTCCAAACGCGATTATAGGGCACACGTATTACGCGTATTCCTGCGTACTCGGAAGCATTCCATTTGAGATGATGATCGGTCCAGACCTGTGTCACCCAACAGTTCGTCGTAAGGATTTGATTTTTCTCATCCTGCAATGAAAAATTCAACATCGAAATTTTTCTCTACGGCCACCATGTATACATATACATAACACGTGTATGCATAATACAGGTATATCCAATGTGTATTTCGACTAGATCATCTAAATTCCAGTATTTCCAGAATTACTCTCACGCGAATTCTATTTCTCCAAACGACAGCTGTTCGAATTTCTAATCGAATTCCGTCGTCAATAAGTAATGTCACATCACATATCTTTCCTAGTAATTTCCACAAAATCAATCGCCACAACCGTAAATAGATAATTATCAAATCTTAAATAATAGAGAGACTCATCAAACCTCACAAGATAAAGCACTGATTGATCTCAATTCGTCGACTTGAAAGATCACGTATTCATTCCACAGGTGGTGACGTTCACAGAGTTTACGAGATCGATTAATCGAACTCCTTAGAGATGTAATCGACTACTGGGTTTTCAAAGATCCAATCCGATCTGATTTTATCCATAAAAACTAACGTGATCGACAATTAAAACCTATACAATACTTTTTTGAACTGCGTGAACAATTAAATTTTTCCCAGTGTATCCCGACACAATGTATCGTATTCCATTTCATTCGTAAATAGGATTTGTTAAGCTTTTTGAAAAAGCTCTCTAATTAACGAGGCTATATAATGAAAGCTCATTGTTCGTTACAGACAGCATTGTCCAGTATTACGAAACTTCACAGGAAACACAGTAAGTAAAACTTAATCCCGAAAAGTACTGTACTATAAATACAGGTTAGATTTGTACAATAGTCAAAGGTCCTATGGATACTTACCACGTCGATGATGTGGTGCAAGGACAGTCCAAAGACAACGGCAAGAGGCTGCGATGAATTCTCCGCTGGTCGTACACCAGCATCGTAACCATCCAGCAGATGCTTGGTAAGACGATACTCGTGTTCGTCACAGGATCCTGGAAGAATAATAATGACAATCTTTCGCAATGAGGTATGCTTATTTTTTCCTCGAGGGAGACTGATAAACTTATCGTCTCTTTGAGTTAACGAAGTCGCAAGCTGCGACGAACGTTTGAAATCTTTGAAGGCTATCAGACCGACACGGTTGAACGAATTTATGTCCATCCCTTGAACCCTTGAGCGTTCGTTGATTTTATAATATGTTCTAAATCTGTAGACTACGTAGCTCAGTCCGTCCACCCTCCTATCTACCCCTCATACGTCCTATCAGTATATATTGACACTGGACGTAGCATCAAAGCCACAGACAGAAGTTCTAGAGGGAAAGCTGTTATTTTTTTAGATAGCTATCCCAGTAAGTTTTTTTTTCAAAAATTTTTTCTTGCCTTCACATTTTGCATATTTTCCTATGTTCTGTGTAACATATAGGTAAATTGACATAAACATTCTGAGCTCTGAAAAGAAGAGTGTTAGACTGGATTTTGAAAAGATGCGAGACAGGAAGTTCTCAAAAGATAGCAGATGCATTTACGTTCTGATAAAGGGGTGAGAAAATGTACGTCACGGGGATGTAAATCGAAAAACACTTCGGGTTTGTAATGAGATCGTGCGTCAGGAGGCGACGTTATACGAAAGGACAGATTGGGTGAGTGAGAGTATCCTGGAAGATATTTTTAAGGGGTTGACAGGGAGCCATCCCCAGAACACTTGTAACAGGAATTTCAAGTTTCCAGGAAGCAGGTTTTATTAGAGTCGAAGCACTTGAAGCTTTGCGATCGAAACTATTTAGAGATCTGCCAATTTTTACATGTTTGCACGAAGACACGATAACGCTGAAAAATCTAATAAAGGACGTTGACTACTGTGGTTGAAGTTGAAGAAATTATACATGAAATAAAACAATATCTCTAAGGATATTATAAAAGGATCAAATTTATTAAAAGAAAATGATGAAAAATGAAGAAAATAATGTCTCTAAGGATATTATAAAAGGATCAAATTTATTGAAAGAAAATGATCATTCCTCCATACCGTTTTGTTTATGAAAAATAATCTGAAGAAGAAAGTGTTCCGCCATAGAAACTCAGTAATAATTTCTCATAGATTTTATAATCAATCGAGCATGCTCAGAGCCAATAATAACTTACAGCCTGCTTCCTACGTCCGCAATAGTATGACAGAGCAATTGATCATTTCATCTTATCTCATTAGTGCCATCTCACCCTCCGTTCGGAGGATGACTTTCTAATTAACGTTCAGTCAAATTTGAGGGAGCTTGGAAAACGATATCAAAGTCAAGATGGGACCATAATGTATATTCGAGTAGCAGAATGGCTTGCCAAGTAAGAAAATATTTGATAAAGATTTTGTAATACTCTATAGTCGTGTCTTCTAGAATCTTTCAACTTTGACATCAGGTATTCCCCTTCTTTCAGTTCAAAAGTTTCTCCATGTCGCTTCGACCTATACTGTATTCTCTGTTTGCAGTGAAAAGTTCACAGGAGTGAGTTGTGGATATTTGTGTGAAACTTAAATTAAAACAAGAAATAAGGGACAGTATATGTGGATGAAGGGAAACCAAATGACTTGCTCGGGTCACTCCGAAGGATAATTACTCGAATTGTTCATTACTTATTGCTGTAAATTCAAATGATAGGAATTTCAAGAATCCTGAGAATTTGCCGGAAATTTCATTGCTGGCTGTGCTGTTGATTACGCATCCTGTTGTCTGTGACTTCGGCCAATGTTCACGAAGGACTAGTTAAAGCGGAAATACAGTATCCTATGTACTCGTGTACTGAGTTCAGCACTTGGTGCAGCTTGGATTTTCTTCCAGGAGTTGAACTCCTGGTGCAAGTGTTTTCTTTGGAGATTATTTGCATGCAGCTTCAAGAAGGAAGCGGAAAGTGAATAGAGACGGAAGTGGACTAGAAAGAAGAAATGGTATAGATCTTTTAAAAGAGTATTATAGGCCAAGCTAAAAAATAATATAACTATGTTATTGTCCAGAGTGAAAGTATAATATATTATAGAGTATATATATCAGGACCTACCGTTATCGAGGATGATCGCCAGGATAGCGAACTGAAGGATCAGGATGATGGACGACATAGAAACGCGCTATGACGCGATCGTTTGACGGCCACACTTCGACTGCCATCATTCGGCTCCTTTTCAAGCGTTACGAATTCCCCCCAAATTCCACACCACCCCACTCGCACCTTCTCAATCCCCTGGAATAAAACCAGCTTGCGCAAGCGTCCCTAAATCAGCAACCTGCAGCGAGTTTGCACTTCGAAGGAAATTCACCGTTCCTAGATCAGAAATATATTTATCAACAAATAATAACATAAATTTGTTTGAACTATCTGCTGAAAGGTCAAGATTTCTCACTGATAATATTTTACCAAAAGAAAATATTATACAGGAATTGAAGATACGCTCGATTTGTTTTTCAACGAATTAAAGGCGCCATTTGTTTTTCTTGTTCTTCCACTGTTGACTGTCAAGAGATGCATCTTTCTAATACATAGATCCGATCGATAGTTTTCCATTTGATTTCATCAAATTCCGAAATCCAAATTCTTTTGGCATTGTGTTCTGCGGGAAGTATTTCTTTTATGTCCAGGAAACGTCTGGTGGTTATAGAATTGAGGTTAATCTTGCCGACACGACTAGTTCTCGTTCTAGGATTTTCAGGAACTTTTGTGTAACAAGGAAATAAAGAAGTAGCTCAACTAAGAATCGGAAATGGGAAAATAAAATAATTACACATCCAATGTTGATGCGTTTGAGTTATTACTGAATAATAAACGGAGTCGTTTCAAACCTTGAAAAACGCTATGATCAGTCTGCACCTTTTTTAAATTTATCATCCCTGATTCGCAAGAAGTATTCGAGTGAGATGAATGGAAGAAGGGACAGGTCTACCAAATTCGAAGGAGAGACAGAGAATGGCTGCCACGGTGTAAAACGACAGAGTAATAAATGTGCCAACAAGAGTAGCAAAGATTCCGTGAAGATTCCTGTGAAGCCTTCAGAAAGTAATTTCGTTATGCAGATCGTTTCAATAGGCCTGAGAACAGACAATGTGTACGAGGTAAGACGGGAAGTTACATTATGATGATAACTATATTGAAAAGGTCACGTTATCAGGCGAGGATGTTCCTGGCACCTGAAGTGGATATGTCATCAGTGAAGATAACGGTAAAGAACGACAATCTCAGGGTGACCGTTCATCGACCTCTAGGAGACCTGGCTAGGCAGCTTCCTGGGATTCTTGAAAAATCCGCCCTCGGTGATCTAGTGAAACGCACAGTCAAGCATTGCGAGAATTTCCTGATACCGGAAACCATAAATGCTGACGAAGTTCGCGCCGTTGTGGACAATAAAAAACGACTGCTTATCGTTACTGCGCCGCCATTGAAATCGACAAAGAGCATAAAGCGCAGGACACCTTCTAGAAATTAGAGAAAATTATGCTTGCAGGTGGTCGTCGTTCTATCCATGGAAAAACAGAAGAATGGTATTTATTTTATAAAATTTTTGGACCAGGCTAAACCTCGCAACGTCATTTCTAAATTATTTTTGACTCTTAAAATTACAAACAAAACTTCATATAACGCTATTGTAGTCGCAGAATTCGGTCGTTGTTACGTAGGGTTTGCTAGGGCGATCAACATTATGGAAAAACTTCCTCATCATTGCCAAGACAATGGGGTATTTTTTCGGAAACAGGATTACATGGATCTTGACATGATGAGTGATGGTTTGCGAACAACTTTTAAATTTAACAAGATTCCAGACTTTTACACGATTGACGATCAGGAATATTATGCGGTGAGTCAACTATTTATTTTGCCATCGTGAAGAGTGACTACGGTGTCCTGATTGGTGGGTCGCTTGATCTGTGTGCATTATTAATTGTAATTAGGCAGAGATTAAAGTGGCCGGCCTGAAAGTTGGTACGGCTGCTCTAGCGACCGAGGACATACTCAACGTGAAGATGCAGGAAGTAGAAGGTGGTCAACGAATACGAAATTTCAATTTCGAAATTCCACCCGAGGCGAACGCGCGAAAAGTATCTGTAGAAGTATTCAATGGCGACACGATCTTCGTTCGCGCCCCACTAAAGGGGAAGTACGTATGACCGTGATGGCATTCCGTGTAGTCAGTGATGTCAATTTAGAAAGTTAGGAGGAAAACTTGCAACATGCTGATAAATTAAAGTTTGCTCTGCCAATGTGGTTGTTTTCCCTCGTTTTATTTGCAAGTAATAAAAGTCACGGGTCAACAACGAATGTTCTTAAAAAGGTCTTCACTTGGCGGGTGCTGCTTCTGGTCCTTTAGCGGGCGCTGGTGCCTCAGCAGCTGGTGCTGGAGCCTTGCCCTTCGCTGGTGCTGGAGCCTTGGCCTTCGCTGGTGCCTTGGCCTTTGCTGGTGCCTTGGCCTTTGCTGGTGCCTTAGCCTTAGCTGGTGCAGATTTCGCTGTCTGTGCTGGGGCCTTCTTCGGTGCCTTCGGCTTCTTCGGTTTCGATGCCTTTGCTGCCAGGATTAGTTTTTTACGCCTCTCCAGCAACTTCTCTGTCTTCACCGCAGGATGTTTGTTGGACAGGGTAATCTGAAAGCGCAAAAAATTAATAGCGTGAAGTGGTGTGTTCGACTCTGGAACTAGGATCATGCTTGTACTTACACCGCGCTTCTTGGCGAGAATAAGGTCCCTCTCGTACTGACGCTTCTTGGCTGTAAGGATGGCGGCGCGCTTAAGAACGGCAGCATATGGATTGAGGCGCAACATGGCGCGCGTGTTGTTCAGTGGGTTAAGTTTCTTAACGCTGCGCATGACCTTCTTTCTGCAAGTAGACAAATGGAAAACCAGGTTTATACGATGTTACGATCGTAACTCAACGATTTAAATGTTATTTGTTAAGTCAGTTATGGTTAAATTTATAATCACTATCAGTCAACAACACGGACCACATTATCATCAAGAAAGTAAATGATATAGAAGAGGTAAGAGAAATAAAGTTAATTAAATAAAGATTATATATTACCTTGGAGACCTGAGGACCTTGCGGATCTCCTCGGATTTCAGAAGTCTGGCCAAATCGGTATTGGCCATTTTGGGGAAGGGTAGGTTGTAGCCAGCCTTCAGTTTGGCTTCTTTGCGCCATGTGCCGTAAAGGGCGTCGAGTTGGTCGAAAGCAGATTTCGTCCAGATTACGAAACGGCCAACGTGACCGCCAGGTGCCAATTTCAACAAGTTCAATTTGTTGATATTCATCAGGTCAATGCCAGGGATGTTACGGAAAGCCTTGCGGATTCCCTGAATGCAACAAATATTAGTTTTTAATTATTCAATTCAATCTTCACAATAGAAAATTATATTATTCAGATGGAAAACGTCAGCACTTTTAAAATTTAAGATCACTGTTGAATCAGTAACACGGACCAAAAGTTGAATCATCATAGTATTTTTGAATTATTTGACAACCGAATGTTCCGAGAAAGTTAATTTGGATAAAGCAAAAAATCTACCTGGTCCTGACCGTAGACGATTAGAGGTCCACGACGCTGGATGCGACGTCGGTTACGCATCTTACCCTTACCGGCACGGAAGCGTTGCGATTTGTATACCTAGAATACAAAAGAACAATCGTGTCATAGTTTTCGAAGGCGAAAATTGATATTTTTTTTTTTAACGAGTAGCTTCGTTTATAATAATGTATTTGTGCGGTGAACCATACCCTTATTCAGTAAAAAGATTTACGACTAAGAACGCCTGGTCACCATATTGCTCTGGCACTTGTTTGGACCATCCGAGTGAAAATGTTCACAAGGCTGGGGACATTTCTACGGTGCCTATGGTTGAATCAGTTTCAACAAATTTGTCACTAACCTTCTGGATATCATTCCACGCTTTGATACGACGCAAGAAGATAACTGCTTGCTTGGTCTTGTTGTATTCTTGAATCTTGTCAGAAACTACAAGTGGGAATTCTGGTACTTCCTGAACCATGTGTCCTGCACAATGTATGAACGTATGTGTTAAAATAATAATATTACTAATGATGACAAATCGTATAACAATGAATACTTCATCTCAGAGCTTTTGAGAATACAATCAGTGGCAAATCAGAAACACGGACCAAAAGCAAGTCATCATTGAAAAATCTTGTGCTAAAATAGTTTTTATTACATCCTTACCTTTCGATTGAACAAGAGCTGGTACACCAGAGGCAGCAATTGCAGAAACAATAGCATAACGCTTCTGGTTAACATTAACGCGACGGTGCCAGCGGCGCCAGGGTTTGGTGGGAGCAAACATACGTCCACCTCTACACATATTGCCAAAAGCACCCTGGCCAGAACGATGAGTACCACCACCACGAACACGAGGAATACGGGCCACGGCACGACCGGTACCCCATGATTCAGCAGAAGTCTGATGTCCTATAAACAGAAATTTATAATATTGATCATTGGAAACTCACAGAATTTACTATTCAATTTCATGGAAAGGTAGTAAAAACCTTACCAGCCTCCTTGGAGACACAGTAGGGCTGACGACTGTTCTTGGAGACCTGCTGATGAACAAAGTTCACCACATCAGGCCTAATTGGAGCCTTAAACACTGAAGGCAGAGAGATCGTGTCTCCTGTTGGCTCATTTTTATCACTGTACACAGTGATCAGCGGACGCGCTGTTGATAACGACTATAACGAAAGAAAGACAATTCTAAGACATATGATGACGTTGACTACATTATTTATCAACAGTCACGACATGTTTTCCATTCTTAAACATCCGAATTATGATTTATAACAAATTCCACGCTTAAATTTCCGAAAGGAGTGAATATCGAATTAGTTTCGCAGCAAAGTCATGGAAATTTCATATAGAATTCGGTCCATTATGAAACCGGATTGACATACACATGGCGACCGCTTTGAAATCTGCTTACTCTAATAAGTGAAATTCATTATAAACAACACAAGACGATTAAATGTAAGTATTTCGATCATTTCAATATTAGAATGTAAATAGTGAAATATTAGATAAACTTCAAAAGATACAGAATATTAGAAAACGTATAAACGAACTGGAAATACACGTGGTCAACGATGCGATTATTTCGTTCCCAATTTCTACACATATTTCTCATGAAACGGAGCAAATTTATTACATAATATTATTGCTGCATATCAATCAATGATTTATTAGTGCAATAATATGGGATTCTTACCATCTCACGGCTTTTTCGTCACTTCTCACACATCAGAGAAACACTACCAGGCTGCTTACACGCCTCGCCTGGCCGTAAAGGAAGAAGAAAGCAAGCGGAAGTTACGGTAAGTAAAATGGCGGACGCGAGCCACCATTTTTTGCGCTTGGTCATTTATAAATCTTGCGTACATTTTGCATCCTCTCTTGTACGAATGATAAGCATCTTAAGAATGCAAGAAAACATGTTTTTTAAAATCACTATAATTCTGGAATATCAAACTGTACCTATTAAAGATCTTAAACATTTATTTTTATTTCATTCAAACTGAGGAACGTCATCTCACAAATATTGCTCGTATGATAAATTTGTCATGTTTCCTGTTGCTGATGGCGCCACGACTGCCTGATAATAGAAACATGTTAAAACGCTTTTAGTCTACATTTATATTATCTGCATTTGACGTTTTTCAATTTCAATATGAGAACCGAGGAGAATTTGAAAGCCTTGATGGGAGGAGAAGTTATCGTAGATGCTTTACCGTACATCGACCAAGGCTACGATGAGCCCGGTGTCAGGGAAGCGGTAATTATTTTGTATACTTTGCTCCATTACTTTCCTTCTTTACTATAGGGTTAGGTTTATTAGCTATTTAATCGTTTTAGGCTTTGGCAATGGTCGAGGAAGAAACTCGACGATACAGGCCAACAAAAAATTATTTAGAACATTTACCAGCACTCAACATAAATGCTTTTGAAACTGAAGTAATGAAACATGAATTTGAAAGAATGCAAAATCGTTTACCCATGGAGGTTCTTACTATGAAACGTTATGAATTACCACCACCTCCACCTGGAAAAATGAACGATTTAACAGCATGGAATGAGAGTGTTGAAAATAGTAGTGCGCAGTTGGAGCATCAAGCCACAAGGTATAATTTTAATTGTAATAATATTATAACATATCTGACGCATGTCTTCTTCTAGAATCTGCAATTTGGAGCTAATGATGGAATATGGCTGTGAAGCATGGAAGTCATACCTTGAAATATTAGTTCAACTATTGGCAGCAGCACAAAAGCAGCTACAGGGATTGAGAAAACAAATTCAAGAAGTTAATTGGCAAAGGAAATCAATGCAAACACAGGGTGGAGAAAAGTTAAGAGCATTGGAGGCACAGTGGGTAGGATTGGTGTCAAAGAACTATGAAATAGAGCAAGCGTGTGTACATTTGGAAGAAGAAATTCAAAAGTCAAGCTTGTCCGAGGGCAAAGGAGTAGAGGTTAATGATGTACCAGAAGAGGATCAGGAACCTGCTGTTCCAGGGAGCAATGCGACTGAAGCTATGAGCATAGAAATTACTCACCAAGAAGAACAGCAAGCATAAGCATTTAAATATTTATTATTAATATATTAACTATATGAAGGACTGATTGAATATGTAAGTTTTATAAAAAATAATCGCAGACCAGAGTTGTCTCAGGCCATCGAAATGCTATAATCAATAAAGCGCAATTTATTTAAAGATAGTCTACATATATCACGCTTCGTGTGTGCTTACAACAATATACATATTTACATGTAAATATCACTGTCTATAGTTGACACGTATTACTAGCTAGTAGTCGTTCATTCATAATTTACGAGATATTAGTGGATCTAATCATAAGTAGCTTGCTTGCTTTGGAACATTTGCAGCAGACTTTTTGCGTAAATTTAGCATGGATTTTAATCAATAATAGAGCAGCGACATCGCGCACCGTTTATATCGTTTATAAAGCGAATGACTTTAAGCTCTACGCTTGGGCGACACTTTGAGTAAAAAAATACGTAGATTCCATTTCCATCGCGTCTGATCCGTGGCAATAGGAAAGATATTCAAAGACTCGTTAAGTTATACTTATATTAAGAACATTTGCTTTAACTACTCGTGTGTCATAAAGATGTCTCGCTCGCTCCTGAACTTTGCGACTGCAAGGGTAATCCTTTGTAACCTGATGCCTCCTCCTCCAACATGGCTATTCTTTGCTTCAGAGACTTCACCTAAAAAATAAAACAATAAAAGATGCTTTAAAACTATACATATAATTCTGTCGCTCAGCCGCACTGGAGCTTTTGGCGCGTTATGACCGAAGCACTATACGCATGTGCAGTTATTTGTACCATGTACGCAGGCGAACTAATTCAATATGGCCACCAGCGTGCCATACAGTGGGTGAAATAAAGTATTTTTATAGTTATCAAATGTTTTTATACAGTTCGCGGCTCAAGAAGCTACTTAAAAAGTGGCCTGGAAAAAAGCTATTAGGAGAATATCGATTTCTACCGATTTTCTTTGTCGCGGGTGCAGCCCTTGAGTTTTCCATGATTAAGTGGAAAGTAGGAGAGGTTAACTTTTATAACACGTACAAACGCCGGCAAGTGGAGACTATCGTGAATAATAAATTAGAAAAGGAGAAATTGGCAGCACCGCACATTACGAAGGACTAGGAATAGAAATCTCAAGAATGCCTGCTGGATTATCTTCGTCTCGATATTTAACATTTGTCGCTTCTGCGATGCTCACAATGTTTGCCGGAGCACAGGTTGTTCACATGTATTATAGACCACTGGATGACTTGGATGAGCTTGTTCAAAGAGAATTGGAGAGACGAAGGGCAGAAAAAAGCACATAACGAATCAGTGTCTATCATAACCAAAAGACCATGATCAAAGTAGTATAGATTTACCGTAACAACTGAATCAAATAAAGGAAAATATATTATAACGAAAGCTGTCTTTACATTTTTAATGATATTGCCTTACCTGTGCAGCATGCCTTTCCACCATTCCAAGCATTTGCTGTTCCAATTTCTTAAGTCTGGACTGATACTTCTTCTTAGTCTTCTCGACAGTCTCTATGAGAACTCTGAGGAAACAAAAATTAAATATTCACCTAGATCATTCTTCCATGCGTCAATGAAAGGTTATTAAACAAGTTTCATTACCCATTGACTCTCTTGAGATCATTTACAAGTTCAGCCGATTGCTGATGTCTCAATTCGGAATTCTTGTTTACTTTATCCAATGTTGATACCAATTCCTGAAGCCGCTCTTTCAGTCTAGCTTCTCTACCTAATGCCTCTATGAGATCAGATTCTATACCCTCACTTCCGTTATCACTCATTCTGCGATCCTAAACACATTTTCAACAAAATCATAAACTATAAGTATATTTCACGAAATTGGAAATAGTATATACTTGATTATTGAATACCTTGTTTGTAGCAAGTGCAAGCATAGCTTCTGTATCACTAAGCTGACCCTGGAGATGCTGAATCGCTGCATGTTGAGCTGCAATCTGAGTATCTCTAGCACTCAATTTCAATTCTATGGTCGCCCGTTCTTTTTCCAAGAGGAAAACCCGTGCACGTAATTCAGCCTTATCCTCCCGCATAGCCATTAACTCCTGCATCAAAACAGCAGTTTCCAAATCCAACTTCCTGGCTTCCGCCAAGGAAATCGTATTTTTAGAATTGAGTGGTTCAGCATGAACACTCTCGAGTTCAACCGCAGTCGACCTAACCATCGCCCGTTCACCCTTTAATCTATTGATGTGTCTCCTGAGTCTTTGTTCTTCTTCGCCGGACCACGTTGCCTCGGAACTAAAAGGAACATTCAAAATGGAGTCTCAGGATATGGCCATTCAAGTATTTTGCACTACAGTAATTCATTGATTTATCATACTCGTCGGACAATATAATGCTGTCCTGCCAAGGAGCACCAAGGGAGGCACAATCATTTTCCAGCCATTTGAGAACATGGTACGCCACATTTTCAGCGGTCCTCCTTTGATCGACAGTGAAATTATTTCTATCGGTGGTCAGGGCGATTTCGCTCTCCAGTAGAGCCATCAGAACATCATATGCTTCTATTGCCCGATCACTATACGAAAGGGCGAGTCGTAGAGCTGTAGCGTTTGACTCATACTTTCCGACTAGTAAGCTCAGCCTGTCAAATTAAGGGGAAAAAATAGAGTTTTCTCCAATGCTTGAATGCATTTTCTTCATCTAATGTCAAAGGCTAGAAATCTACCTGTCGCACTGCGCTTTGCTCTCGTGAAGGGTCAATGCCAGAACCGCATTATTGGCACGAGCGTGTTCAAGTCGACTGTTCAACCTCTCGGTTTCCACTTCAAACTGTTTTTCTGAGCCATTCAATTCTTGAAGGTTCGATTGCTCCAGGAGATCCGAGACCAGGTGTTCAGCCACCATTGTTGAGCAAACCTGAATTACCAATAGCTCAGTGACTTGTAGAATTAAAATAGCATAATTTAGAATATTTGTGCATACTCCAAGATTTGTAATGTCAGGACCCGTAATATGTCTCTCGTCCGTTCTCCTCAGTCTGACCCTTTCCGCCATTTTCAAGACAGGGGCTTCCTCCCTGCTAATGGTTTTCGCGGGTGGTGTTTGCAAGGGTGGCAACAACGGTGAACATGGCGCAGTCAACGGTTCGGGCGAGCTGGTATTTCCCCTAGTCTAGGACAGGTAGACAAATTCACTAAGATATTAAGCTGAAAACCTGATGATAGGATAACAACGTAATCACAGCTCCATGCCTCACCCTGGGGTCTCTTCTAGGTGAGTTGCACCTCGTTGGCTGCTGAGTCGTTTGTCCCTGATTCTTAACCTGAACGAGTTGCGATTGCAGATTCGCAATTTCCGTTCTGAGAGCGGTCACCTCATCCTGAAGAGCAGCGACGATGACGCTCTGGCAGGACGCAGCTTGCTGTGTTGGTTCTGGAGTGGGTAAAGCTGCAGGACTGTCCAGCTGCTCTCTGCCATTCTATCAACAGAATTTCCCAAAACGAGAAGACGATAATTTAAATTCTGATTGGTTCGAGAATCCCACGAGATTAATCGTACCTCGATGGGTCGTGGCTCGATTTCCTCACAGCAGCTGGAGTCTGCATCCCCCAGGGTCCTGTCGCCATCTCCTGGAATGTCACCACCACCCTCACTTTCCTCCACAGGATTCGTGATGGAACCTTCAGCGTCCCTGCTGGTCTCGATTTCTAGATTAGCAAGAAAATAAAATATTTATAAAATAAGTGAAGGGTGAACTCATTCCAAAAAAAATTGGTGAAATGTCCAGAGTTTGAAATTAAAAAAATAAGACTCCTACCAGACTCGTCTTCCTCGGCGATGACGGTGGCCCGGTGTCTCTCCAATTGTCTACCCAGTTCAGCAATCACAGAATGGAGTTCAGTGAGTCTCTCCTCGTGCCTAGCAGCCTGCTGCTCCGTCCTCTGCTCTGCCCTAGTCGCCTGTGCCTGGGCCCTGATAACGGCACCTTCTGCAGCCTCCCGGGCCCTCACAGCCACGACCAGCCTGGAGTTTAACTCAGCGACCTTTGAACGCAGGGACGAAAAGAGCGCTCCGTGGAGCTAAAAAAAGAAAGTTGGTCTTTGGCTTTACAAAAGAAGAATAAAGAAAATTGAAATTGCAAGAGTATCAGAGAGGTACGTGGTGCATTAAGGAGATGCTGAAAATTCCCACGCAGGCATATAATTGCAATCTGTCCTTCGACGTCAATTTGCGAGGATTTATGCGTATACGAGTCGGGAGAGCGAGAAACAAATTAAATCGTAACCGCCGGCGTCCTTGCTGGAGCACCCAGGTGTGTCGGGCGTCGGGGTCTCGTCGGGCGACTAATGATTCCCGGTCACGTGAAAATTTGCTCGATGATTACACATACGTGAAGCAGACACAAATGTATTAAAAAGAGAAAAACGATACAGTAAACAAGGAAAAAAAAACATGTATATAAAAAGACTTACAGTTGAGAATTCAGGAACATTCGAGAACGAGTCAGCAACGACAGAAGCAGATAAATCCGGTGAGTACTATTGGACGCAGCAATGCTCTTCAGACGATTTACAATTTCTTTAATCCGGACGAGAGAAATAGATCGACGGTAAAAATCAGGAGAAAATTATATTTCAGCTTTCTTTATATAGAAACGATAGAAAATGGCGATACGACAATCACAAAAAGCATTGATGGGTCTACTGCTCTTCTTCCTGGCTGTCACACTCTTCTCCACGGCAATGGCTCAGAAGCAAGAGTACATACATTTGCCAGGAAAGTCATGTCAGGACGCACCACCATGTCCTGACGGGAGGCCCTGCGTAATGGCGAGTCCACACTGTAACGTAGGAACCTGCGGTACTGACCCGGTGCCCTCGTGCGGCGTAACCAACTGAATTTACATTGTAGTCGCCATTATGAAATTATGTATTCATTATTAATAATAATACATTATATATGTGCGATTCCTATGCTGTCGTATCCCACATATTCCGGCCCTTTCAGAGACAGTCGTGCCGAACGTGTCAGGATGGTAAAGCAATACAGGAAGTTGTGGTAAATGAGGTTTGAGAATAGAACAAGAGGAAGGAGAAAGGCGGACGAGGAACAAGAAGATATCGGTTTTCACCTTGAATACTCGATACTCTCTGCAGACACGAAACCGCAGTGTGTCTGCAGTACACGATAATCGTAGATTCTCCCAACGGACGCTACGCCTCAGTGCTGCCATCGTACGTCTAGTCAGCTAGTCCAATAGGCCGAACTCATTTGAAAAGTGCAGCAGAAGAGTATTTCGTAGAAGAAAATGTACACAGACGACGGAGAAATCTCTTGATCTTTTAGCGCAATGGACGAATGAATTATTCAAAAAGATTTCCGTTATTCATGTAAGACTACCCAAAGCAATTTCCATAGATTTTCCGAGAATAAAAAAAAGGGAGCAACCGAGCAGTGGCGCCATCTATCGACTGTTATTCAAACAATGAACGGTTTAATGCCTTATGAGCACGATAGAGATAAAGTCGCGTTAAATATCCTCGTAAAAGAAAAACGATGCGTGAACGACCCAGTCTCGAGAAAACGGACAGCTAGGATCGTCACTGATCCTCTCTAATACCGTTTTCAAGTTCTCTCCTTTCTCCATGCTGTTTCTTTGATCCGCGTAAATCCACCCTGAAAGAGGAAAGACTTTCTTGCCATTTTCCGTAAAAACACACGTGCCCCTCTCTCTAACTCTGTCTCATTCTTTCTCATCGCGCCAAGGTCTATTCGAAAGAGCGTGCGAGGTGTGCATAAAGAATAGATCTCGTACATACAGCTGGGGGTCACGGCTGGACTAAGGTCACAGGAATGTTACCTCTGAGCTAACAGGATGACACAGTGTCCAGAGTGCAGTTCAAACAAAAAGCAATCAAGAATTCAATTACGAGCCTGTTCGAAGTGCAGCCTCGAAAGCTTTATTATATTGGGGACGAGGTTAGTACACGTAGCAGCTCAGACCAGGCTATACAGAATCTGATACCACTTGATTACCGTTCTCTTCCTGTCCCTCCTCTCGCCAGGATCATCACTGCCTCTGCCCTTGTATCCACGTTCCTGTTGTCAACTCGTAACGTCCTCAGAAAAGATACCTGGTGCTTGATACATACACGGCTACGAGCCACGAGTAAAAGAGAGTTCATAAGAAGAGAAAAAGGGAATACACTGTTCCTGAGATTCTAGCCTGGTCGATTCCCCTGCTGTATGAAATTCTTCTAACCAGCAGCCTGTTCCTGAACTAGGAGTCATGGAAGCCAAAATATCAATCTGAAATTTAGCCAGGGCCCTGATATTCGGCTAATGCATCCCATCAAAGTGGAGAAGCCTAAGACTCAGATGCATCGTTCAATCTTCATCTATCATCCGGTTCGTCGCACGTAAAATCACTGCTGAGAAGTAACGGACCAGCTGACAGCTATCAACTAATAACCATCAGGTATATATATATATATATACTATACGTATATCGCAGCAGAGTTCTTCCCCTACCCGTCGAACTAAGAGCTCCCGATAAACGAAGCGTTTCCAATGGCGCCTGCCCGAGTGAAGTTCTTTAGCACGGAGACAGGGACGTTGGCTTCCTACGACCTGTGGCTTTTGAAGCCACTAGTGCAGCCAATGCAGCTGGTGCATTTCGCAACCCGGGCGTGCATTCCAGCTGGTGCAAAGTTGCGGCTGCAGAGGCAGCAATCAAAATAGCTGCCGGTCAGTGCCGTCGGGGGTCGTCCGTTGCCTTCTTCTCTCCTTCGTTCCTGTCTCTCCGATGCTCACCATCTTTTTTTCTTTGCACTCCGACCACTGGATATCTGGATTGCATTACTACAGTGCACTATGCGGCCACGGACGAAGCCACTGCAGATATGACTGACTGGTGTAACGCGTCTGGTAGGATCTGTGAGCACGGGGATTACACTGGGACATATAGTCATAGTGCTAACGCTGGACGTGACACCATTAACCTACATTGGCTGAGTTGCTAATGCATCCTAGCACGAATGCAGTCGGGTATGGAAATTGTAAAGCGGTGAAAGACAAAGAGCGACGAAACGACAGATTCTCGAGTGACCGTTCCGGTCGGTAGTAGGTACCTTTGAATGCCTTTCTCAGGAAAGACTGAGGGACTGAAATACTTTCAGGTTTTTCTGGATTTTTGCTTCTCGCGTCTCATTCAATTTTTAGAAAGACTCTCACCTGTTTTACAGGCGACAGAGGCAGGGATGCTGGGACTGACAGGATACAGGATAAATATAGCCCTAGACTTAAGAATGCTATTCGTCCATGGAAATCAGCCAGATCGATAGTCGCAGTGTCTTGGAACGCTCTATAGATATAATGATACGCTTTTGTGTATGCTATAGGTATTACTAAGCTTCCAATTAATGAATTTGAATAGAGCGGTCCTCTGAGAATCAATTAGCATGATATGGAGAGATCAGAGTAATATATATATATATGCATTATTGCAAGCTAGCAGGTATACGTGTTATAAGTAAATATGTGATATAGAAGAATCCATTATGGAATGTGGGAATGATAGCAGGGTGCACTTAATATAGCTTTCAGACATATCGATCAAATGTCATTGATTGGAAGTTCAGGAATGATAGAGAGAGAGAGAGAGAGGATGAAGGAAGAGAGCATCCAAGACAGATAGATGCATCCATTAAATTCCACAGGAATGAACGAAGACTATAGTCACTCTCGCTCATCGAATCATCGAAAGAATCGGGGGAATCCCCGAACAACAGACTGCCGGGAAATGTAATCTGAATTCGAAAAAGTATTGGGAATAAAGGTGACTGTGAGGTTGACTGTGGTTCAAAGACAGTCCCAGGGTGCGTCCTTAGGGGGGGAGGAGTTCCATTTCACGCATACCCCAATGAAGAAACATAAAGCCCCTTTTCAAAGCTGCCGACTAAACTTTCCCGCCAGTTTTCAAACTCTCTTAGAGTTTTGCGCGAGCGTCTTATTCCTTTTGAGCTTTTCTCAAGAGCGTCAAAAAATGATCCTACCAGACCCGCCTCTCCGTTCATTAGATCCTTTGTCTTAGTATTTATCTTTATTAACCTTTCGCTGAGTTTTCTTTCCTTTTTTTTTCCAGGATCAAAAAAAGGAAAGAAGCGGAGCTTAAGGACGTTGAATTGCAGGTTGACGTGATAAGCGAGCAAGACAAGGGATCCGTGCGAAGAGCGTAACCTCCGACTAACGAGTAGAGGGTCATGGGGGTCGCTGACATATATAGATAAATCAAGCGTTAAAGGCGATTGGGACCAGGGTGCTATCATGAAAAAGTCAAAGGGCACGGGGTAAGAGGGTAGGTCGCTCGAAGGTAGGTCTATCGACTTTCTGGTGATCGATGACCCTTTCCCATATTCTCATTCTCTTATCTCCCGTCCCACCTACTCTCTCTGATAGAGATGGCACTCTCTTTGATAGAGATGCACGTTCTCTTTTTTCTTGACTTGCAAAAAAAAAAAAGATTCACAATTGCAGATCCGAAGGACCAATCGAGTCCATTCCAAATGGACAGAAAAAAAGAATTGACTTTGATTAGTCCGAGTGGTAAGACAGTAAGGGATGTTTTTGAGAACCCCTAACATCATTCCGATGCTCGAGGTGGGATTTCGTAAAGATCAAAGGTCAAAGGTCAACCAGTAGGTCCGACTTCCAGAAGTAGATGGTTGGGTATGGGGGGGTCATACGGAAAAGGGCACGTAGGATGAACCGTAGATAGGGCTCGGATCTGCAAAGGGTTAGAGAATAGCATAGCAGGAGTAAAACGGAAATGTAATTCTGCCTAGGGAGACCCGGCATAGTCGTAGATCCACATGCAGATTCGAATCAGATCCTGAGGCGGTGGCAAAAATTACGAAGACCATCCCCCAGTCCCATTATCGAGTTCCGGCACAGCGGAAGTTCCACCCAGGGACTTGCTTCTCCACCGCACCCTAAAATCCTTCGATCCCGTTCAACTCCACCCTCCCGACAACGGCGGTTCTCATTCGTCAATACCGCAGCGCACCCTTTTCCGCAGGTTTTTCGATTATCGCCCTTTTTTTTCATCCCCTGCACCGGTATATTAAAAAAAAAGCGCCTGTCAGACTGTTTCCATTTTGACAGCAGCATGTACAGGTGAGAACACTTACGTTCTGCCTATCCCGCCTGTCGCCCTCGACCTGAATAGGAACGGTCCTGTCGTCATGACGATCTCCGGGACAACAGAGCCAAGACCTGGACCTCCTGAGCTCGCGAGGTTCCTCCTCTTCCTCGTCCTCGACCTCGTCCTCCGTAGTGGCACAGTGGACGTAAACAAGATCGTCCCTACTGGCCGACTCGATGACGACTTCCTTCCCGACAAGGTCCCGTCCGTGTCGAGGATGCTGGGAGTGATGTTGCTGATGTTGCTGGTGTTGCTGATGCTGCTGATAATGCTGATGACGATGCAGCCGTTCCACGTAATAGCCCGGCTCCGTAGAGGAGCCATTGTTCACCGCCACCGTGAAACCCGCCACGATGTATATCTATATCGCTCCCTCGATCTTCCTCCTGACTTATTGTCGCATCCTCGACACAAGCAGACCTATTGCTACGAGCACAGGACACGCGCGTACTGATCGAGGTCAGGGGTCACGTCGACTATTCATTTCGAATGCTCCTAATCGTTCCTTCCACGATCCCAATTAAGTCTGAGAATAAACGAATTCCCGATACGAGATAATAAATACACATATATAAAGTGAAGCTTGGAAAGCTTAAATTTATGGTTTCAAGTAAAAATAGAAAAATACCAAGAAATAAATTATACGTCTGGTTTTCCCTAAAAGGGACCGTTATCTTGTTTTTCTCAGTTAACATATACCAAAGTTTTTCTCTTACGTGTCCAGAATAGGTGTTCACGGCGCTTATAAGTAAAACGACGTCCCACGTATTTGTCGAGGTTACGGATGCTTATGGGTATGGTATATACAGTGACGTAAGATTCACGGAAGCTTCTAAGCCATATGAAAGTGATACCAGGATACTGCTACGATACTTAAGGAAGACTCGGAGTACAGTGAAAGGTAGGAGAAGTCTGTTATGGTGAATGAGGAGTGTGACTGAGAAGAGAGGATCGGTTGATTTCGTTAACAAGGTAGTAGAGAGAAAGAGAGAGACAGAGAGAGAGCGAGAGAGAGAGAGAGAGAGAGAGTGAGAGAGAGAGAGAGAAAGCAAATGAGTGTACGAACGATTGTACGAATAAATTTTACATTGGTTATACGAGATCGACGCATCCACCGTTACGCTAGGCGTCGCCTTCGTTGTTACCACCATGGATTTAATGGTGTTAATTTTGCCACGACTTTCTACGTTCCGACGTTTTTAACGAGGCTCGCTATTACCTTGGCTCGTTAACGCTTCGTTAGTGTGTCGGTCAGCAGGTTTCTGGTTTTCCCATAGGGTGGTATATGTAAAAAGAAAGGGATAAAAGTATTGGACCCCGTGAGGACTCTTCTCTTCGTTAACTCAAATTCTATCGGATAATTTGATTAACGAGCAGGGACGTTTCCGTCATTGATAAATTTACCGTTGCCTAGCAACGACGCACGGAATGACCAATGAGATCGATCTGAACGTATCGCGGATAGCGGGAATTTTTGAAATTTAGTATCGCACATGATTTTAATGATTGGGAGGATCGAGCGTATTAACGACAGGTGTACGTGTATATTTGTATGGTTGATGATTATTACTCGATGGGATAAACAGGGTATGTACTGATATAGTAACTACGAGCTGCGAGCGTTCGAGTTAAGAGTCGTTACTTGCTCATTACTCGGTCGAGCAATGGAAACGAGTGCGCAGCGAGTTCGAATAGCCGACGCATAAATCTTGTTGGTAAATTTGTTTGTACATTACGTATTACATAGGTGGTTTGTTGATGCGTCTGCGAGAGCTTGTTTTAAATATATGGGAGTCACGTGTGAGGGATGCCGTGGTTCAGAAGGGATTGCAAAGCGATTCCGAAGATGAGACTGAGGTAGTCAGCGTAGCTTGGGATATGCACCTATGAAATTGCCTGGGGGTAACGGTACGGTAAGAATGAGAGGAAGAAGAGAAGTCATAACTCTTTTTATAACGAGCAAATCTTTACAAAGTTCGATAGACTTCCTGGATTCGGCACTCTGGAGTCTGTAGGATAATGGCAGACCTGTGGTATGCACGTTCGAGCAGGCAGGGACTGTGAAAAAATGGTAAGGGAAAACTTTCCGGGTTGCTTGAGACCATAGGTTAACCTTGATTACGCAGGATGACGCAAGAGACAAGAGACTGGGTAAGACGTATACACTCATAATGAGAAGTGAGAGAAAGGGGAGTAGTGGGATCGTAGAACGATTGGATACTTCGAACTGCATCACGTGCTCTCGATATTCCACCTTTTATTCCGATTCGAATTAATCAGATTCCGTTAAGATACCAGTGCGCATGATTCTCGCGCAGCCGCTCGACATAGGCGAATGGAATTTATGCACGAGTTCAAACACGCTCGCACGCACGATCGCTGCTCCGTTTATGGCGAGAGCGGCTTTATAAGATTCGCCTGCGCGTAATACAAGAAAACTTTAATACGTATTCAATTCTTGGTACATACATAATTACCGACAAGCAATCGAGCTCGCTAATTGGATGCTTAGAAGAAGAGAGTAAGCGAGATTTTACGAATGGAATTTCAGCAGGGAGCTTTGCTTAATTTTATTACCTATTTAATTTATCATTACCA